AATCCCCCATTAGGAAATCTGCTGGGTTAAGAGCATTTTCAGGGGTTTATGTTAAATCATCTTTTTCTAACAGAATAGCCCTATACTTGAAGATTTTTGAGTTAGTAAGCTACCTTTTTTCTTTTTTTTCTTTTCTTTTTTTTTCTTTTTAACTTAGGATACTTCTTAACTGGTGAGGTGTGCTCACAATTAGGTTTCCTCTAAATTTATTTTTCTACTTTCTTCTGTTAGCAAAGCAGTTGCCGCTACAGACTGAATGCATTTGAACCATCTGTGGGATACTGGGTTCAAGGAATTCACACCAAATCAGAATCAAAACCAAAACCAAAGTGCCGATAAAGGCACGCCATGGGTGATCAGGCCACACGTCAACCGAAATGGAGTGGGCAAGTTCCCAAGACTGGTCCTGTCAAGCAATTCAAACCAAGTCAAAATCAAAACCCAAATCAGGCCGGGCGTGGTGGCTCAAGCCTGTAATCCCAGCACTTTGGGAGGCCGAGACGGGCGGATCACGAGGTCAGGAGATCGAGACCATCCTGGCTAACCCAGTGAAACCCCGTCTCTACTAAACAAATACCAAAAAAAACTAGCCGGGCGTGGTGGCGGGCGCCTGTAGTCCCAGCTACTCGGGAGGCTGTGGCAGGAGAATGGCGTAAACCCGGGAGGTGGAGCTGGCAGTGAGCTAAGATCCGGCCACTGCATTCCAGCCTGGGTGACAAAGTGAGATCCGTCTCAAAAAAAAAGAAAAAAAAGACTTATAACCATTTCTTTTTAAAAATCAGTTAAGGGCCGGGCACGGTGGCTCAAGCCTGTAATCCCAGCACTTTGGGAGGCCGAGACGGGCGGATCACGAGGTCAGGAGATCGAGACCATCCTGGCTAACCCAGGGAAACCCCGTCTCTACTAAAAAAAACACAAAAAACTAGCCGGGCGAGGTGGCGGGCGCCTGTAGTCCCAGCTACTCGGGAGGCTGAGGCAGGAGAATGGTGTGAACCCGGGAGGCGGAGCTTGCAGTGAGCTGAGATCTGGCCACTGCACTCCAGCCTGGGCAACAGAGCGAGACTCCGTCTCAAAAAAAAACAAAAAACCAAAAAAAAAACCCAAAAGTGCCGATAAAGGCATGCTATGGGTGATCGGGCCACGCTTCCACTCAAATGGAGTGGGCAAGTTCCCAAGACCGGTCCTACTGTATTCCAGATATCTGGACTCCAAGAGCTGGTTCCTTCCCGGTGTTCAACCAGTGTGTTGATTCTCCGCGGGGGCCTGCAGTGCACTGCTCTGACGAGGCATTCCACCAGGGCAAATGCCTGCCCAGGAGCATGCTCAGGATCCACATAGCTCAAGCTGGCCGGAGTCCCCTGCAGGGATGCTCCACAGGACAGGCCTAAGCCGCCTAAGGGGCTGCCTTACTGCCCGGTCAGGGAACCAAGAAATGTAGCAGGATGAGCGACAGACAAAAGTCTTCAGGCACCAGGTTAAAGAAGGAAGAGGCTTTATTCAGCCAGGAGGTCGACAGTCTTGCGTCTCAAGAACAGAACTGAGCTCTCCAAAGACTTCATTCAGCCAGGAGCATCGATAGACTTGCATCTCAAGAACAGAACCGAGCTCTCCAAAGACTTCATTCGGCCAGGAGCGTCTATAGACTTGCGTCTCAAGAACAGAACCGAGCTCCCTGAAGAAAGAGTTCCTGGCCCTTTTAAGGGCTTACAACTCTAAGGCATCCACGTGACAGGGTCGTGATAGGCTGAGCAAGCTTGGGGTACATGACCAGGTGGGTACGTGATCTACAGATAGCACAAGTGATTAGGGTGGGGTTAATCTTTAGCCCACAGGCCTGGCCAATGGCCCCGATCAGTCTGTTATTTTTCAGTTTTTACTTCCTCCTTTTCTTTGGAGAGAGGAGACAGTAAGAGGAATGGCCTCTGTCCTCATTCTGGGCCATCTTTCTCCTGCTTCATGCCTGAAGTTACCCATTAACCCCAAGTGGACCGGTTCCTTGAAGTGGGAAGCGGCATTTAGAGATCACACTCGGGCTGCTACTCGCACAGCCCTTTTGAGTCAGACACCCCAAACACACCCAAAAGGGACACGAGACCCTGAGAGGGCGATAGGAGCTTGCTTCCAACTTCTCCCTGGAGGTTGAGGCTGGACTTTCTTACACCTGGCGAGACCCATCCCAAACTAAGACACCACCAGGGAGGATGGAAGGGCGACCCCTGGAGCTGTGTTGTGGTCAGATTGGACCTTCCCATGGCTGCTGAGACTCTGGAACAAGCTGCCCCTTCTCTGGGGCACTGGGGACACCTGAGGATGCCTCCCTGCTCTTACTTTGTGGTCACAGCAAGAGATCAGGGTTACAACTACCCTGTAGTGTAGAGAATTCCTGTCCCTTTCCATGTCACTTCCCTCCTTAGGGAAGCAAACGCCCTCCCAGGAGCCCATTCCCATTCCTGGGCCACAGTTAAAGGGAAAACCTGACACGAACTTCCTTGGGCCTCTGCATTTCCAGATGTCCCGTCATTGCGTGTGTGGGGCTGACTGTCTCATCTCAGCTTGAGAAGGGCAGGCAGGGGTGTGGACACTCTGCTGAGCAAATGCCCGCCGGAGTCAGTGGTTCCGATTTCCTGAATCACGGTGGCAGGTGGGGGCTGGGGAGGGGGGCACAGGGAGTTCTAGGGAGTAGTTTTTGTATGAGCCTGTGTCACAGTGTTTGATATTTAGCAGAGACCCATCTGACCATCCTAAAGAAAGGTGCAACAGAAACTCACTTCACAGGGCCTTCATGATAACTGAATGAGACAACATACTTAAGTATCTGGTCCTTGATATCTGAGAGATACTGAGTAATGAAAATGATCCTTTCTCCCTCTCTGATACTTAACGTGGCCCCTTACCTTGGGCTGCTGGTTCTGGAGGGTCACAGGGAAGCAGGATGGTTCACGCTGCTTTCACCACAAGCTCTGGCACCCAGTAAGAACCAGCACGGCATGCATGGAGCACACACCATACACCGGGCTTGGTGCTAAGAACCTTACATACGTGATCTCATTTAACTGCCCTTAGAAGTCAGGGGATGATCCCCATTTCACAGAATACTGAGGTTCATAAATGTCAAATAACCTGCCTGGAGGAGCCAGGTCCGAGAACAAGGTCCGTGCTCATAGCCACGTGGTACCCGTGGTCCCAGAGTTACAGGCCTTCTGAAGACGTGAAATTTGGTTAGAGATCAATTTTCTGTCTCTGGAATCATCATATCCCCTCTCAATTCTTATGTGTTTACAGGCAAGGACGTGTCAACGTAGAGACCTAGGAGGACAAAGTGAACTTCCTGAGCCCCAACAGGCAGGAGTCCTGCCAAAGCCAAAATGTATCACCTTGGAAGATGATGCCCCAGGAAGAATGGGGAGGAGGGAGGAGGGAAAACCGCTGATGAGGCCGACTCGCTCTTTGGGGCCCGTCGTATCAGCAAAGCCAGCTCTTTTGAGATGGAAGAACAAAGATGTTTCTCCTCTGTGAGGAGGTGATAATGGTGTTCTGGGTGAAGTAGAGCAGCTTTGTCCTGGAAGGAATCTGACTTGGAAGGAGGCCCAGTTGTCCAGCAGGCGCCTGCTCCCTTTCTGCTCTGGCTTCCAAAGGGCTCTCTGCAGAGCTCCTTCCCAGAGCTGCTGGCAGGAGGTCCTTGCTGGGGGGCAATCCATGGGGACGTCTGGAGCAGTGGGAGCCTATGTTGGGACCCGGACGGCAGCTGCTCCACCTCAGCACCCGGACTATGAGGCACAAGGCTGGGCACCACGAGGCCGTGAGTGAAAGCAGCCTGGATTTGGATTTCAGAAGAACTGGGCTTGAGTCCTAGTTCTGCCACAAACCATGTGACTCTTAGGCAGTCACTTTATGTTTTTATTTCCTTGGCAGTAAAACTGTCATTACCTACAATATGGGAATTGTAAGGAACTACTGAAAAAACAAATCTTAAAATGTTCTGTGCAGACTCTCAAATACTGTGCAAATATTAAACTGTTGTAAAATCCAGTCTCTGCCTTTGAGATTTTACAATCTGGTGAGCAGGTAAACACAAGCACACATAACAAGACAACAGTCTCCATTTAGTGCTGGGTGATGGGAACAGAAAGCAAATGCTTTGAGTTTGGGGTAGTGGGCTGGGGTGATGAGGGAAGGCAGGAACGCGGGGAAGGCAGACCGTAATTTTTTTTTTTTTTTTGAGAGGGAGTCTCACTCTGTTGCCCAGGTTGGAATGCGGTGGCGTGATCTCGCCTCACTGCAACCTCTGCCTCCCGGGTTCCAGCAATTCTCTGCCTCAGCCTCCTGAGCAGCTGAAATTACATGTGCCTGGCACCACGCCCGGCTTATTTTTGTATTTTTAGTAGAGATGGGGTTTCACCATCTTGGCCAGGTGGTCTTGAACTCCTGACCTCATGATCCACTCACCTCGGCCTCCCAAAGTGCTAGGATTACACGTGTGAGCCACCGTGCCTGGCCTTGAATGGGTTTTTAAAGATTTGGGCAGACAAGCTGGGTCACTGGGTGCTCCCACAGAGGAAGCATGAGCCAAGGTGCAGCAGCCATTCTACACACAACCTGCTTTAGCCATCAGGTGCAACAGAGGCTGCACACCGGTGACACATTAGGAGAAATACAATCTGCACTTGTGCTTTATTTGTACCACGCAGTGTTTACTATCATCTGGCCAGTTAAGACAGGGATATTTAAAATGAAAAATTCAGATTTCCCTTTTTTTTTTGAGACAGAGTCTTGCTCTGTCACCCAGGTTGGAGTGCAGAGGTGCAATCTCGGCTCACTGCAACATCCGCCTCCCAGGTTCAAGCAATTCTCCTGCCTCAGTCTCCCGAGTAGCTGAGACTCCAGGTGTATGCCACCACGCCTGGCTAATTTTTGTATTTTCAGTAGAGACAGGATTTCACCACATTGGCCAGGCTGGTGTCCAACTCCTGACCTCATGATCTGCCCACCTGGGCCTCCCAAAGTGCTAGGATTACAGGCATGAGCCACCACGCCTGACCCAGATTTCCCATTCTTTTTAAAAACCAGAAGACCTGGCCACACTGGGTCCTCTTCCCCAGCCAGTAATGATCCTCTGGAGTTTCTGAAAGGGTTCATGCCACACCCACTCCATCCCCTGCTGCCTTTCCCACCTACTCCAGTTAACTCACTCCATCACCACCTGACTGTCAGCATCTGGGCTCCTGATTCCCGGGTAAACAAAACCTTCGACGGGGAAGAAAGTTCTACGAAGGGAGCTGTATGAGGGGAGACATGGGTCCCTAGACACCCGAAGGCAGAGACTGAAGTGGACCCAAGCTGTAAACCCTCCCCTGTCAGCCGCCTCCAGCTGCCACCAGGCCTGCTCCTGCACACCTGACATCTTTGCCCACGGTCATCGATGCAATCACTTTCTTCACTGCCTCCTTCTTCTTCTCCTTCTTGTCACTGTTGAGCTCTGCCTTCAGCTCGAAGATCTCCCCTAAGGAAAGGAGGCATGAGCGATCCCTCCCTACCCTGGCAGGGGACGATTCCCGGTATCTAACTTCCAGAAGAACCAGAGGGAGGCACGTAAGACATCCCATGCTGTTGGTGAGGGCAGCTTCAGGCGCCTGGCCTCGGTGGGCCAGGCAACAGTGAGGGACGACTGTTAGGGCAGGAATTAACAAGCTGGAAGCTTGGAGGCCGGGTGCAGTACCTCACACCTGTAATCCCAGCACTTTAAGAGGCTGAGGATCAGCCGGGCGTGATGGCTCATGCCTGTAATCCCAGCACTTTGGGAGGCCGAGGCAGGCGGATCACGAGGTCAGGAAATCAAGACCATCCTGGCCAACATAGTGAAACCTCATCTGTAGTAAAATACACAAAATTAGCTAGGTATGGTGGTGCGTGTCTGTAATCCCAGCTACTCGGGAGGCTGACAGCAGGGGAATCACTTGAATCGGAGTTTGAGGCCGCAGTAAGCTGTGATTGTGCCACTGCACACCAGCCCGGGTGACAGAGCGAGACCCTGTCTCAAACAAACAAAAAACAAACATGTGTTTCGTAGGAGAAAGATCTAAATCCTGGTTCTGCTGCATGCTAACTAACCCCCAGCAGGTTCAAATCACTCTGAGCCTCAGTTTCCTCATCTGAGCTTAACTGACATAACGCATGTAAAAAACAAGGCCGGGCGAGGGTGAGGTGGGTGGACTGCTTGAGCTCAGGCATTTGAGACCAGTCTGAGCAACACAGTGAAAACCTGCCTCTACAAAAAATATAAAAATTAGCTGGGCATATTGGCATGCATCTGTAGTCCCAGCTACCTGGAAGAATCGATTGAGCCCCGGAGGTTGAGGCTGCAGCTCCAGCCTGGGGGACAGAAACCCTGCCTCAAACAAACAAAAAAAGAACAAGCACAGTACTGGCACGTAGTACATACTGTACAGATGCCAACTCCCCACTTCCTCCGACTTGGAGGGTATCTTGTGGTTAAGACCATGAGTCAGGTGAGCCCCAGCCGGGGGACCTGCACAATTCCCTCCACCTCTCTAAGTTGGAGCTCCCTCATCTAGAAAGCGAGGGATGATGATGAAAGTTGCATTAAAGACTCTAGTGTGTGGAAAGCACCCGGCAGAGCCCCAGACACCCAGTGAGAATTCAATGGGCAGTGGCTCTGGCGCTACCCATCTACTGAACTCAACAGAGGTGCCCTGGGCTTCTGTGAGCTCCCAGGCCAGGCCAGGTCTATGCCCACAGCAGGCACCGAGCTGACTGCCCAAGGCAGCTCTCCTGCCTGCCTGGCTCTGGAGAGGTGGGAAGCAGGCAGGCCTCCCTTTAGGTGTGTCTGAGGGTAGGTTGTGGGGCAAGGCACTAGAAAGGGGCCCACTAAGGCCTGAGGCCCAGTGCCTGGTTAGAGCCCCTGAGGACCAGGGTCCTCAGGCTGGGCTGGCAAGCAAGGGGCAGCCCGCTCACCTCTGGGCCTCTCGGTCGTCCTTGGGTATATAGTTGGCCAAGCAGTCCAGGATGAAGATCTGGCCCCACTCGGTGCACTCGTTCAGGGCTGTCAGCAGCTTGTTGATGGACTGTGGGTTCAGATTGAGCAGGTTGCTGCTGGGGTGAGACTGGGCGATTTCTGAGAGCGCTGCCACCGCGTTGGCCACCACCTGGTTGAGAGGGAAGAAGGGGCAGAGGCTGGGGGTGCTGCTCACAGGCCAGGGGGCAGTGGGCTAATGATGCTGGCCGGTCAGAGGTCAAGTATCCTGAAAGGAATATGACCCAATGGGCAGGGTCTGGAGCTGCAACGAGACCCACTCCAAGCACTCACCCTGCTGACTCCTCTGCAAACTGGAACAAAACCAAGTGTGCCTTATAAGAGACTTAATGTTAAATGAAGGGGAGGCATTTCAAAATTCACATCAAAAAACTATTATTCTTTTTTAAAAAAACCTAATCTACTATGTGACTTCCCCTCCAAGCATGACTTCTACCTTTACTTTCTGATAATCGTGATCGGCTTGTGCGGATCCAGATTACTCAGGATTAAATTGGGGCCCCATCTTGAGCAGTCATGGCAACTTGGGGAAACTACTTAACTTCTCCATTTAGATTGATTCTGTAAAATCCATAAAACGGAATGATTTCTGGGGGTTAAATTAGTATGTCACAGTTGGAACACTCAGAGGCTTGCCAGACGCTGACTATTTGTCTTCATCAAATGAGGACAGTGGTATCCCACTGTGTGGTTCTCAATTTTGTATAAGAAAAACATGCTTTATGCATTGTTAGTAAAAGAAATATCTGGCCGGGCGCGGTGGCTCAAGCCTGTAATCCCAGCACTTTGGGAGGCCGAGACGGGCGGATCACGAGGTCAGGAGATCGAGACCATCCTGGCTAACACGGTGAAACCCCGTCTCTACTAAAAATACAAGAAAAATTAGCCGGGCGAGTTGGTGGGCGCCTGTAATCCCAGCTACTCGGGAGGCTGAGTCAGGAGAATGGCGTGAACCCGGGGGGGCGGAGCTTGCAGTGAGCCGAGATCGCGCCACTGCACTCCAGCCTGGGGCACAGAGCGAGACTCCGTCTCAAAAAAAAAAAAAAAAAAAAAGAAATATCTGAATATCCCTGCCATGGAAGAAACAGAGGGAGAAAAGAGAGTTGGTAGGTCCTAGCACTTCAGAACTGGGAAGAATGAGTTCAGACCCTATTTTGTAGACAAGGAAGGGAAAGTGTGATGTGTCCTAGGCGTTCATTCAAGTCACAGTCATTACTCTTTGCTGAGAGTGGGACCAGGGCTCTGGGAGGTGCTACAGTCAAGTTAAAGACAAAAACTAACACTTGTAAGACAGGAGAGAAACATTTCCTTACAAAAGCAGTCAGAAATGTATCTATAACTACATTTGGTGAGCAAATGAAAGCTGCCAGACTCAGAAAAACAGATGCTAATGGACTGACTTCAGTAACCAGGGTTTTCTATGGAGTTCATGGCCCAGGGTGACTTCCAATAAAATCCCCACCGCCTGCACTTTTCTCGGGACTGGAAAGCTCAGGCAGCCCAGGACGAAGAGTGCAGTCACCACAGACGGGCAGGGTGGCCACAAGGTGGGCAGCAGCAGGGATGGGCATCGTGAGCCATTGGGTGGGTCTGGGAGTGGGGCATCGCGAACCAGTAGCCTGACTTGGTTGCTTCCTGGTAACCAGGTGACATAGGAGGCTTTGTGGGTACTAGGCATCAGCCAGGGCCAGCAGTCTTCAGTCGGCAGCTGGTAGTGGAAGGAGGAGGAACTCTGACCTCATTCTGTCATGGCGGTTTATGTGCCTCTTGGCGTTTGTGTGTGTCTTTCTTCTTTAAACAACACAGAAATTAACCACTTTCATAGACCAGCCAGTTCGAGAGGTGGCGGCAGAGTATGGGCTGAGGCTCCAGGCATGTCTGGGGTCACATCACTTCTGCAAGTGGGGGACCACCCAAACTAGTGTGGTTGCTAGAGCAGTGCAGTCCGTTTGATTGAAGGCTCAGGCGGGAGGCAAAGAGTAGTAGTGAAGGTGCCCCATGGGGAACGAACTTAATTCTTACATGGACCCCAGAATTAGCCTCAGCTGTGACTGCTGCAGGCTGGACGTGGGACCCTGTGATGAGTCTGAGGTTCCTGAGGCTGGGGCAGCCGCGGCACCAGCATCCACCGCTGCAGAGGCTGTCAAATTGGATTTGGGAGTGTGTCTTTCTTCTTTCAACAACACAGACGTTAACCACCTTCATAGACCAGCCAGTTCGAGAGGTGGCGGCAGAGTATGGGCTGAGGCTCCAGGCCCACCTGGGGTCACACCACTTCTGCAAGTGGGGGACCACCCCAGACTAGTGTGGCTCCTAGGGCAGTGCAGTCGATTTCATTGAAGGCTCAGGCGGGAGCTGAAGAGTAGTGAAGGTGCCCCATGGAGAACAACCTTAATTCTTGCATGGGCCCCAGAGTTAGCCACAGCTGTGACTGCTGCAGGCTGGACGAGGGACCCTGTGATGAGTCTGAGGTTCCTGAGTCTGTGCAGCCCCGGCACCAGCATCCACCGATGCAGAGGCTGCCCAGTTGGATTTGGGAGCCACGGAGGTCCATCCCGTGCAGGACCACAGCAACCCAAAGATCCCCAAAGTTAAAGAAGCCATGGGTGCCATTTGCTTTCTGGCATCTCTCTGGCCCCCACCGCCCCCACCCCTTTGCCGTCCCTCCCCCTCAGAGACATCCTCAGCTTCCAGCTCCCTCCTGCCCGCAGCCGGCTTTCCCAGGGCTCGGCATGGGGGACAAAGGCTGGTTCTGCCTCTGTCTTTGTTGTTGAGCTTTCTACGTTGAGGCCTTTTTGGCCTAGTCCCTCCCTTTTCTCAGTAAAATTTCAAATACTCCAGTTTTGAATTCCCCATCCCATTCTCTGTCCTTACCTATGCAGCTGGTCTGGGCCCTAAGTGAACGAGCCATTTAAGGGCCCAATCTTTCTTTCTGACATTCCTTAAGGTAAGCTAATAACTAGGATAATTCAGACTCCAATATGTGGAGAATTCTTAAAATCAAAAGAGAGTTTGACATGGAAGAGATTCTATGGTATTCTTAATAGACGGTTTTAAGTCACATTGACAGAAACTACAGGGGAAAACATTGGGGGACATGCTTAAAATGACCGCGAAAGGTATGACATGTTACTGCCCGAGCCGTAAAGAAGTTGTTTTTGTTTTGGTTTTACCCAAAGGAGTTTAGCCATGGAGCTCTGATGACTTGAAAATTCCCACTTTGACATGAATGTCTCTTCAGCTCTGCTACAGTTTAGTCCCTGTTTTATAGACAAGGAACGGAAAGTGTCATGTGTCCTAGGCTTTCATTCAAGTCACAGTCATCACTGTTTACTGACAGTGAGACCACGGCTCTGGGAGTGAGAGGCTATGGTCAAGTTAAAGACAAAAATTAACACTTGTAAGACAGGAGAGAAGCATTTCCCTACAAAAGCAGTGAGAAATGTATCTATAACTACATTTGGTGAGCAAATGAAAGCTGCCAGACTCAGAAAAACAGAGATGCTAATGGAACTGACTTCAGTAACCAGGGTTTTCTATGGAGTTCATGGCCCAGGGTGACTTCCAATAAAATCCCCACCGCCTGCACTTTTCTCAGGACTGGAAAGCTCAGGCAGCCCGGGACGAAGAGTGCAGTCACCACAGACAGGCAGGGTGGCCACAAGGTGGGCAGCAGCAGGGATGGGCATCGTGAGCCATTGGGTGGGTCTGCGGAGTGGGGCATCGTGAGCCAGTAGCCTGACTTTGTTGCTTCCTGGTAACCAGGTGACATAGGAGGCTTTGTGGGTACAAAGCATCAGCCAGGGCCAGCAGCCTTCAGTCGGCAGCTGGTAGTGGAAGGAGGAGGAGCTCTGTCCTCATTCTGTCATGGCGGTTTATGTGCCTCTTGGCATTTGTGTATGTCTTCTTTAAACAACAGAGAAGTTAACCACCTTCATAGACCAGCCAGTTCAAGAGGTGGCGGCAGAGTATGGGCTGAGGCTCCAGGCCCGCCTGGGGTCACACCACTTCTGCAAGTTGGGGACCACCCCAGACTAGTGTGACTCCTAGGGCAGTGCAGTCGATTTCATTGAAGGCTCAGGCGGGAGGCCAAGAGTAGTGAAGGTGCCCCATGGAGAACGAACTTAATTCTTCCATGGGCCCCAGAGTTAGCCTCAGCTGTGACTGCTGCAGGCTAGATGTGGGACCCTGTGATGAGTCTGAGGTTCCTGAGGCTGTGGCAGCCGCGGCACCAGCATCCACCGCTGCAGAGGCTGCCCAATTGGATTTGGGAGCCACGGAGGTCCATCCCGTGCAGGACCACAGCAACCCAAAGATCCCCAAAGTTAAAGAAGCCATGGGTGCCATTTGCTTTCTGGCATCTCTCTGGCCCCCACCGCCCCCACCCCTTTGCCGTCCCTCCCCCTCAGAGATATCCTCAGCTTCCAGCTCCCTCCTGCCCGCAGCCGGCTTTCCCAGGGCTCGGCATGGGGGACAAAGGCTGGTTCTGCCTCTGTCTTTGTTGTTGAGCTTTCTACGTTGAGGCCTTTTTGGCCTAGTCCCTCCCTTTTCTCAGTAAAACTTCAAATACTCCAGTTTTGAATTCCCCATCCCATTCTCTGTCCTTACCTATGCAGCTGGTCTGGGCCCTAAGTGAACGAGCCATTTAAGGGCCCAATCTTTCTTTCTGACATTCCTTAAGGTAAGCTAATAACTAGGATAATTCAGACTCCAATATGTGGAGAATTCTTAAAATCAAAAGAGAGTTTGACATGGAAGAGATTCTATGGTATTCTTAATAGACGGTTTTAAGTCACATTGACAGAAACTACAGGGAAAAACATTGGGGGACATGCTTAAAATGACTGCGAAAGGTATGACATGTTACTGCCCGAGCCGTAAAGAAGTTGTTATTGTTTTGGTTTTACCCAAAGGAGTTTAGCCATGGAGCTCTGATGACTTGAAAATTCCCACTTTGACATGAATATCTCTTCAGCCCTGTTACAGTTTAGTCCCTATTTTATAGACAAGGAACGGAAAGTGTCATGTGTCCTAGGCTTTCCTTCAAGTCACAGTCATCACTGTTTACTGACAGTGAGACCACGGCTCTGGGAGTGAGAGGCTATGGTCAAG